AGTCTCCAATGGAGACGTTACTGGGCCCGCTCAAGCAAATCGATGATCAACGGGAGGGCCTCTACCTAAGTTTATTTATTTATCCTTTAAGTTTATTTTGGCTGCTGCAGAGCATTGTAGTACGTCCACTGTAGCACTGCCCTCCCGTTGTTCATCGATTTGCTCAAGTGGGCACCAGTAACATCTTGTGAGACTTGTTGTTACTGTTTTTGGTATATCAAATATGCCACAGGGAGCTTGCCAGCCTCTGCCGTGCAGGTGGGATACTCTCAGTAGCTCGCTGGGCTCTCAAATAGGGATGGAGAAATCAAACCTGGGTCAGCCTCATGCAAGGCAAATGCCCTACCCGCTGTGCTACCACTCCAGCACATGTATATGCTGCAGAGTACATCAATAATTTACCATTATTTTTTTATCATCAGTATCACTTGTCCAACAAGAATCTCCTAAATTCTCTAGTTTGGCATAGGGATTGGGAAAATTAAAGTAGAGAAAAACCTCCTGGTGTTCATTTCTCCACTTTTTTCTTCATTGTTTTACACCCAATTTTATGGAGCGATAGCACAGCGGGTAGGGCGTTCGCCTTACAAGCAGCCAACATGGCCGACCCGAGTTCGATTCTTCCGCCCCTCTCGGAGAGCCCGGCAAGCTACCGAGAGTATTCGATATGCCAGACACAGTAACAACAAAGTCTCCAATGGAGACGTTACTGGGCCCGTTCGAGCAAATCGATGATCAACGGGAGGGCCTTTACTTTACTTTACTTATGGCTTCGAGTATGTAGGCTCCTAGGACTCTGAGGAAGAGGAATGTAAGATTACTGATTGCAAACTCTGTTTTCTTTTGTTTTTCCTCTGTTCTCTTAACAAGGATGCATTAATAGGAATTGTGCAAGGGTGAACTATGTAACCCCTCAGATTTTTTGATGGAAGATGGAAAATGAAAAGGAGTTAACAAAGGATACCATGTGTTTAGGGGAAATGAACCTATGAAGTTTGTTGGGTTGGTTTTTATTATTCTTTTTTTCATGAAGTCTAGACTAACCACCATGCGGTTCATGCATAGATCTGATCCTGTTGATTAACCACATTCAACCACATGCACTCTAGACTTGTAAATGGGCAGTGCTGATCAGTATTTTGAAAAGTATTAAAAGTTTTTGAAAATGGATTGATAGGCATGAACCTAATTAAATTAAATGACTATTATAATAAACCTCTCAACATTTGTCATAGGAGTTAAACAAGGTTTCACAACTCTGTTCTAAATGTCCAGTATGTAAAACAAATTACTCAGCAAATTAAGAAACAACAACAATAAAAAAGTCAACAGGAAAAGAATTCAAAAATAGAAAGAAATATATGGTAATATTATTATGGAAAAAGGCACATAGATAATTCAATAGCAAAATTGTAGAATTTTCAACAAATGATATTGGAACAATTTGACATCCATAGCTAACTATGTAGTTAGCTAGAAAATAGATTGATAGAAGGTAAAGGTAAAGGCCCTCCCGTTGATTGTCGATTTCCTCGAGCAGGCCCAGTAACGTCTCCATTGGAGACTTTGTTGTTACTGTGTTTGGCATATCCAATACTCTCGGTAGCTTGCCAGGCTCTCCGAAAGGGGCGGAGGAATCAAACTCGCGTCGGCCATGCTGGCCGCTTGTAAGGCGAACGCCCTACCGCTGTGCTATCGCTCCTCCCATTTTAAACCTCAGTTTTGCAAAATTAGCTAAAATGGAACATAGAGTTAATTAAATGTAAAGAAAGAGCTTTTAGGAAAAAAGCATAGAAATTATAGCAAAGGTATAATAGCACTGTAGCACTGTCCTCCCGTTGTTTATTGATTTGCTCAAGTGGGCACCAGTAATGTCTCCATTGTGGGACTTCTTGTTACTGATTTTGGCATATCGAATATGCTACGCGGAGCTTGCCAGGTTCTGCTGCTAGGGCGGGATACTCTTGGTAGCCTAACAGGCTCTCTGAGAGGGACAGAGGAGTCGAACACGGGTCGGCCGCGTGCAAGGCAAACACCCTACCCGCCCTACCCACTGTGCTTGTCCCTCTTGGAGAACTATCAAGAGTATCCGGTCCACAGGGAAGAGCCAGGCAAGCTCCCTGTGGCGTATTGATATGCCAAAAACAGTAGCAACATGTCTCACAATGGAGATGTTACTGGTGCCTGCTCACACAAATCGATGAACAACAGGAGGACAGGACAGGAAAAGCATAATACTTTAAAGAATTTATGAAACTGAACAAAAAATTTAAAATAATAAAATAAAATACTTTATCAAGGGGGATATAAAGAAAATAAATACATAAAATATTTTAGTATTGTTTACAAGGTAAATGCAAATAAATTCATAAGTAAATGCTACTACTATTCATCTAACAGAATGACTAAAATAAAATTTCTGGTCATTTCAAATGCCGATAATCACAGGAGGCAACTAGGTCTCTCATTTATGGCTGATAATAGTGTTAAAATGGTACACCACTCTAGAAAACAGTTGAAATGTCAATAAAATTATGCATTCAATTAAATTATCAAGTGACCCATTAGTCCCACTCATACATTATTTCTCTAAAGACATATATACACATATATATGTATAAAGACATATTTACATATATTTACTCAAAAGCATCTACATTAGTGTGCATATGGCTGCTTTCATAGTTTTGAAAGCCAGAAAAAAATAAAAGTCATTCATACAATAGAATATTACTGAATAATAAAAATAAATCATCTATAAATACAGCAACCTGACTGATTTACAAATGCACTGGGAATGAAATAATTTAATATCAATACACTGTTAAATAATTTATGTGGAACTCTAAAAAATATGGTGATGAAAGAAAGAACAAATGGCAAATAGAATAATGGTGTGGTGTGGTATGACAAGAGATAACATGAAACTTTGGGGATTGAAGAGATTGGTACTCTTATTGTGGTAGTAGTTACTTGAGTGTATGCATGAATCACACATCTAACTGAATGTTCAAAATGCAAAAACTCATACAGCTCATCAAAACAGACATTCTGATTAAAACATATGCAGTGGATCAGAATAGATGCAGCTTTAAAGAAGAGATAAAGGTGGTCACTAGGCACATGAAAAGACTTTGGTCCTCTGTTTTCATTAGGGAAATGCAAATTCAAACAGCAATGACTTATAACCTCATACCTCTGAGGATGACTACATCTAAAAGACAGTAAGTACTAGAAAGAATATAATAAGGACAGGACAGAACCTTCATATTTTGTTGATGGGAATATAAATTGGTAACCATTGTAGAGTGTAAACTTGTGCAACCATAATTATAGATAATCATATAAGAAATTATTCAAAAAATAGAAATTACATACAATCCACTTACTCAATTCTAGGAATTTACCTGAAGGATGCAAAGGCACTAATTCTAAAATATATATGTACTCCATATTAACTGCAGCAATATTTACAATAGTGAATAATGGGGGGAATAAGAATGCTCATTGATCACTTGTATCACTTGTTGTACTGTTGATCATCAATTTTCTCGAGCAGGCACCGGTAACATCTCCATTCATGCCTGTCATGTGCTAGTGTAGCCCAATGGCATCTGCTCGCTCTAGGAACCAAAGAGCCTCAAACCATTTGTTTAGGGTCTTCATGAAGAAGTCTGACCATCTCGAAGGTGGGCAGCCACGTGATCTTTCGACTTCCCATGGAATCCACTTGGTAACGCCTCTAATCCAGCGGTCATCTCCAAACCACATTACATGTCTGGCTTATCTGATTTTCGACGCATTGGCAAATGAGCAAGCTTCCCTGATCCTTGATCATCAATGGAGGTCAGAACTCAGGATTCCTTCTCTCACTTGAGTAAAGCGTGATACTTCAAGCATAGCTCTTTTGAGTCCTCTTTGGGAGACTCAAATAGTGTTCTCATTCTATTTTCATAGGGCCCAGGTCTCTGAGGCGTATGTTAGTGCAGGAAGAATGGTGGAGTTGAAAAGATGTGCCTGTTGCCGGAGGTTCTTCGTCCTCTTAACAATTTCTTTGATGCTCTTGAAGGCGTTCCATGCCGCTTTCTTACTCCTGCACAGTTCTGGTGCCAAGTAGCTCGTCATGTTGAGTTACTGACCCATAACTGCTGCATTCGAAGATGTTGGTTCTGTTGAGAGCAAATGGAATGTCAGTAACTAGCTCATTTCTCATGAACATTGTCTTCATGAGATTCAGCTGCGGTCTGACCTTCCCACACTCACGGTTGAAGTCGAAGTCGGCTCATTGATAGGAAAGCACATAAAAATGATGAGATATATTTATATACATATATGAAGATATATGTATATAAATATACATGTATATAAAGTAAGAAATACTAGTATTTGTAACATGATTGGACCTAGATAGCATCATACTTAGTAAAATAAACTGAATGAAAAAAGACATACTACCTATACTGCCTAAAGAAACTAACAAAAGAATAAATGGAATAAAACAAAATTAAACTTTTAAAGTATAAAATAAAATTAGGTTACCATACTGGGTAAAAATGATCAATTACATAGTATACAATTAGACTTTAAATGATAATTATTTGAATTTAATTATCTGAACATAGTATATTTAGATACTGATTTACAATGCACTACTGAAACATATAATGTTATAATGCAATGTTACTTCAGTTTAAATTGTTTAGATAAATAGTTTAGGGAGAAAAGAATTACTCATTTGCTATAATTCATAGATCTAAAATTATACTATATGTTAATAAAAGTAAATTAAAAATAAAGAATCTCAAGCCATTACCATTCCTATTAGTAAATCCCTAAGTTAATATCTTCAAAACACTTAGAGCTTCTCAAGAGCTAAATAAATTTATCTCAAAAGCTAAATATAAATGAATGCCATTTTTCCCTATATAAATTCTTTGAGTATATGCTGATGCTTTTTTTCTAAACATTTATGATCACATGATTTGTTTAAATTTGTCATGAAACTTCCTTCTCCAGTATATATACTAAAATTGGAATGACACAGAAAAGATTGGCAGAACCTCTGTGTAAGTAAGAATGACATGCAAATCTGTGAAGAATTCAGTATTTTAAAAATAATATTAAATATGGAAGGGAGAGACTCCTGCTTTCCATGTGGCCAACCTGTATTTGATCCCTGACACCACATAATGTTCCTTGAATATCACCAGACTTCTCCCTGAACACAGAGCCAGTAGTGAACCCTGAGCACAAAGCTAGGAGTAAGCCCTGAGTACCACTGATTATGCAGTTATGTAATGCTACTGTATTATTGATAGAATAATTTTATTAAATATTAATAATGTTATTAACTTATACATATAAAACATTATGTACAAATATAAGCAACTGTTTAAATAATATTGTTTCATTAATAAAATTACTAAAATATTAATAAACTTATGAAGGAGAATCACACATTTAAAGAAATATGCCAGAAATATGCCACATTTGACTCAATGCTTTGATAAAATAAATGTCAGCCCACTTTACTTGCTCATCAATGATACCATCACAAAAATAAACATATCAGATGCTAGTCTTACAACCACAGGAAAGTGTTTTGTGTGAGTATAACAAAATGTCTATATTATCCCTTCTCTACTGGCTATGACAAATTCTGCCCAGCACGCACTAGAAAGTAGTTGATGCAAAAGTTAGATGATATATTATAGTCCTTCTGGGGAGAGACCCTATATTGCTCTGATATAGTAGAAAAAAACACTGTTGCCATTAGCACTTTTTCAGGAGCTCTTTAGAAACTTCAAATGTTAAGTGCTACTGTGGATGTTTTAATGTGTGCTCCCAAATTCTTTGATAGTCTTCTTTTCAAGAGGTGAGTTTTTGTCCATTGAATGTGCCTGGAATTAATTTTTAAAGATAATAAAGAGGAAGTGATAGTTGGGTGATTATGAAAAAGATCCCCAAAATACATCAGATAAGCTACTCTAAAATTTCAAACCCTCAGAAATTTGAGACAATAATCTGGTTTTAATCTAGTATATGTGGGGTTAACATTTTATGCAGTCATAGATATTGAATACAGTGAACATACTTATATCAAACTGCTAATTGATTTAGAAAAACTAGAAAAAGAAGGGGAAATAGAAATGCAATTCTTTTTAATTTAATTTTTATTAGTGAAACATCATGAGGTACAGTTGTACACTTAAAATTTTTTGTGCTTGGATTTCAGTTATACAATGATTGAGTACCCATCCCTCCACCAGTGCCCATTCTCCACTTCCAATGCTCCCAGTATCCCTCCCACTCCCCAATCCCCCCATCCCACCCCACCCTTGTGGCAGGAAATTCCCTTTTGTTTTTTTCTCTCCTTTTGGGTGCTATGGTTTTCAAAAGAGGCATTGAGTGGCAATCATGTTCAGTCTGTAGTCTACTTTCAGCATGCATCTCCCTGCCTGGGAGGATCTTCCTAACACCCTTTATTTGGAAGGCTCTCAGTTTTTCCCCATTGAGGAGGATGCTTGCCATAGGATTGTGGTAGATGCCTTTAACTATATTGTGGTAGTCCCCTCTCTCCCCATTTTGGCGAGGGTTTTCATCATAAACGGGTGCTGGATGTTGTCAAATGCGTTCTCTGCATGTATTGATATGATCAGATAGTTATCTTTTCTTTTGTTGATATGATGGGTTATATTGATTGATTTCCGAATGTTAAACCATACTTGCATAACAACCATTGGTTATGGTGTATGATCTTTTTGATGAGTTGTTGAATTCTATTTGCTAGTATTTTGTTGAGAATCTCAACATCAGTGTTCATCAGGGATAACGGCCTGTTGTTTTCTTTTCTTGAGGTTTCTTTATTCCCTTTTGCTATAAGAGAGATAAGGGCTTCATAGAAACTGTTAGGGAGAGTTTCTTTTTCTTCAATTTCCTGGAAAAGCTTGAGAAGAACTGGCAATAGACCCTCTTTAAATGCTTAGAAAAATTCTCTAGTGAATCCATCTTGATTTGGGCTTTTGTTTTTAGGAAGACTTTTGATTACTGTTTCAATTTCCTTGATGTTAATAGGTCTATTCAGATACTCTAGATCTTGATTCAGCCTTGGGAGATTATAGAAATCCAGGAATTTATCCATTTCTTCCGCATTCTCTTGTTTCATGGCATACAGACTTTCAAAGTAGTCTCTGATAATCTTTTGAATTTCTTTGGTTTCTGTTGTCATGTCCCCCTTTTGATTTCTGGTTCAGTCTAATGGGGGTCTCTCTCTCTCTCTTTCTCTCTCTTTTTGTGAGTCTTGCTAGTGTTTTATCTATCTTGTTTATTTTTTCAAAGAATAAGCTCTTTGTTTCATTGATCTTTCAGATTGTTTTTTTGGTTTCCATGTTGTTGATTTCTGCTCTAAGTTTTATGATCTCTTTCCGTCTGCCTGATTTGGGCTCTTTCTGTTGATCCTTTTCTAAGCTCTTGAGCTGTGAAGTCATTTGTGTGGGACCTTTCTTCCTTCCTGAGAAATGCTTGCAGAGCTATAAATTTTCCCCTTAACATGGATTTCGCTGCATCCCATAGGTTCTGGTAGCTAGTGTCTTCATACCATTTGTTTCCAGGTATCTTTTGATTTCGTCCTTGACTTCCTTCCTTATCCACTGGTTGTTCAACATTGAGTTGTTTAATTTCCAGGTGTTTGATTTGGTTCTCCATGTCTGTGTGCATTGTTTGGTTCTCCATGTCTGTGTGCCTTCTGTTCTCAGTGCATTGTGGTCAGAAAAGATTGTTGATACTATTTCTATCTTTCTGATTCTGTTGAGGTATGTTTTGTGGCCTAACACATGGTCTATTTTGGAAAATGTTCTGAGTGCACTGGAGAAGAATGTGTATTCTTTCTTTTTTGGGCTGTAAAGCCCTGTATACGTCTATAAGCCTTCTCTCTTCTATTTCTTCTTTCAAAGCCAATGTTTCCTTGCTGAGTTTTGTTCTTGTTGATCTATCCAGAGGTGATAAGGTGATGTTGAAATCTCCGGCTCTTATTGTGTTGCTAGCAATGTCCTCCTTAAAATTTGTTTAGCAGTTGTTTTAAATATTCAGTTGTTCCCTCATTAGGTGTGTATACATTTAAGAGTGTAATTTCTTCCTGTTGTACGTATCTCTTGATAAAGAGAAAATGGCCTTCCTGTCCCTTCTAATCTTTTTCAACCTGAAAATTATGTTGTCGGATACTAGTATGGCCACCCCAGCTTTTTTGAGCGAGCTGTTTGCTTGCAGGTTTGTTTTTCATCCTTTAACTTTGAGTCTGTGTTTGCTCTGACTGTTCAGATGAATTTCTTATAGGCAGCAGGATGTTAGGTTCTGTCTCTTAATTGGTGAATTTAGACCGTTGACGTTGAGAGATTATTGTTATGGGGTTTTGTGTCATGTTTCTGTAAGGGTCTATTGTGCTTGTAGGGTTTTTCTTGTCTTATAGTAGCCCCTTTAGCCCTTCTTTTAGGTTTGGTTTTGAGTCTATGAACTTCCTGAGCTGCTGTTTATTTAGAAAATAGTGTACCATTCCTTCGAGTTTGAATGAGAGTTTAGACAGATAGAGTATTCTTGGTCAAGAATTCATTCATTTCACTGAGATTTTTCGCTGTCCCACCATTGCCTTCGGGCTTGGAGGATTTTCTCTGATAGGTCTGCTGTGAATCTAAGGGGTGCTCCTTTGTATGTGATTTCCTTCTTTGACCTTGCTGCTTGCAGTATTGTGTCTCTATCCACAGCATCCATCATCCTAACTATGATATGTTTTGGAGTGTTTTTGTTAGGGTCTCTTTTAGCTGGTAGCCTTAGGGCTCCTTGAATCTGAATGGCTGCATAGTCCAGCTCTGGGAATTTTTTAGCAATGATTTGTTTGACTGTGGCTTTTTCATTGGGATTGTTTCCTTGAGCTTCTGGTACTCCAATGATTGTAATGTTGTTCCTCTTGGAATCATCTCCTAGGACTCTGATTCGCTCTGGAGCTATTTTGAGGTCTCTTGCCATTGTTTGTTGTTGCCTGTTGGCTGATCTTCCAAGTCACTGATTCTGTCTTCAGCTGTGGCCATTCTACTGTTGAGGGCACAGACTGTTTTTTTTTTTTTTATTTCATCTACAAAATCTTGTAGCACAGTGGTAGGGCGTTTGCCTTGCACGCAGCCAACAGGGCCGACCCGAGTTCGATTCCTCCGCCCCTCTTGGAGAGCCCGGCAAGCTACCGAGAGTATCTCGCCCGCATGGCAGAGCCTGGCAAGCTCCCCGTGACGTATTCGATATGCCAAACACAGTAACAACAAAGTCTCCAATGGAGACGTTACTGGGCCCGCTCGAGCAAATCGATGAACAACGGGAGGGCCTTTACCTTACCTTTACAAAATCTTGTATTTGTGACATTTCTGTACGTAACTTTCCAATTTTTGCTCTCATTTCTTCCCATAATTTCTCTATTGTTTCTGTCATGTTGCTGGATATATGTCTGACTGTTTCATTGAGTTCATTGAACATCTTCATGACTTCATATCTAAATTCTTTCTCAGAAAGGTCTTTTAGGTGAGTAGCACCTATTGAGGCTTCTGGACTCTTTAAAATGTCCTCCCTAGATGGTGGGGATTTGCATTGTTTCTTCACGTTGGTGTGAAGGTATGGGGAATGAGATGTTACACTAGATTTCTTGGTATGACTAAAACTACCTGTGGCTGCGTGAGCACTGGCCTGCCTAATGGCCATGCCCACTTCTACCAAAGCGATGCTCACTTCTGATGAGGCCATACCTCTACTGGTACCTGGTGTGTGGCAGGGTACCAGCTGGGAGTGGAAGAAGACCAGCGCAGCATTGGTGACAAACAGGAAGAGGCTCAGGGATGGTTAGTGACCCAGGGTCCTAGAGGACACCCAGGGCATTTGCGCAAAGAAAGCCAATTCCTGTGTTCGAATACTGGCGGCTTAACTGACTTGGGAGGGAAGAAGACCAGCATAGTGTTGGGGACGAACAGGAAAACGGAATGAAATTCTTAAGTTTTCTTAACTTCTTTCTCTAGAGGTCAGGAAATTAATGAAAATACTGACATTTCTTAGATATGATTTTATAAATTAATCAAAA